TAGAGAAATGTGGTGATTGAACTCTGTACGGGTGAGAGAAAACGGTCAATCCGGTTGAATGAGTCCTTGACAGTGGTGGAGGTAATCAAGCCGTGAAGTTCGTGGGGAACAGCGACTGTGGTAGTACCGATTAAAACAATTGCCAAGAAGCGGCTAAATAAGGGCGAGTGTCTGGAATGAATCGAAGCATCGGTCAGCGAAGCTGCTCCAAATTGACCCCTGTCAACGTGAACCTCAACTGAGCAGAGACCATCGTGTCGCTAAGCGTGAGAGCCGGCATCGTCCCACGTGAGAGCCTGGGTCACTGGGCATCACCTCCCGCGCTGCTTGGTCGCCCCATGTACACCGCGGTATTTGTTAAAGGTAGGAGGATCGCACTTCCTCCTCCTCCTCAATGTGGCAGGCGCTGAATGCCCCTTTTCATTTCTGTGTTGGCTGAACGGAATAAAGAACTCGACTGAGAATAAGGAAGCTCATAGCCGTTTTGTGTAATGGGAAGAAGTGGGGGGTTTTGTTCTCGGAAATTTCTCTTGAAAAACCCCAATGATCATGCGCCCACACCACTCGCTCCGTCTGTAAAGTGTTCTTGTGAAACCGTCCGAGTGGTAAGTGGCGAGAGGAACTTACGGCTACCCAAAAACCCCTTTCCACAAAGCAGGTGGCGTGCACAGTAGTGGGAGCGTTGTAGTCTCTTAATTTTATTTATAACAATTCATCTTTGAAAATCCCTTGAGGTGGAACATCTCGTTTGCAAGGGTGTCCAGGGTGTTGATCGGCACACACGTAGCAAACACGTAGTATATCCGATCGCTTATGTCCCGCCTGACGCTGGCACTTCCTAGTCACTGTGGTCTCCCGCGGTCCAGCGGACTTCATCCACGTGCTCACCCCGCTTCCCAGCCCCCATCTCTGTAGCAGATGATCGTAGTCCGCTAGGGGCTGCCTGCGTGACCGGTATCGTGACGCTACCTGGATTCGAACTCAGGTGCTTGGCGCTGCTGGCTCTTCGTCTCGGATACCGTTTGAGCCCTCTGAGCCACCCAAGCTGTCCTATGTATAGCCTGAACCATAGGAATGCGGAGTTTCCATCACTAGCTCAGAGTTGTAACCGAGAGATGAGCACCAGCGCCTGGATGCTCGTGTGAGCAGGACATCGCTTTCACACCGAGTCACCTGACAAACTCGAGAGCCCATGTTGAGCCACACGCATTCAACAGCTCCACAGTGATTTCCGTATCAAACTCATCGCTGTGCTTGACACAATAAGCTGGCAGTGCGCTGTTGCAAGGAGCGTGTTTGATTAAACGCGTCGAGCTGACTGTGGTTACGCCGTATGCAGGATTTGTGATGTGAGTTTCTGAAAGTTGATCGAGTACAGAATTGACACAAACGCTCTTTACTGATGCCGCCATAAAAAAATTTACGGTCCTGACGCTCTGCCCTTATGAACACGACGCATTCATACACATCAATAGCGATGATTCAGGGACCGCTTTTTTCTGTCGCACAGAAGGGACTGGAGGCAGTGGTCGGCCACGGACTTTCTCTATGGGGGTGGAAAAAAAATCCTTCAGCTGCCAGTGCCAGGAAAATACGCTGCTGAGAATTATCGACGGAGTGGGCGATGATTAACAGCCGTGAGCCCTGACCGGTGCCTCGGCGTGAGAACGTCTTCTCGAGGAGCGTTCTGCACAAAGGCTGCCCTTTCGCTAGCCGCCCCTGCCAAGCGCGGTCACCGACGTGCACCGAGCGCCTTTGCATTCATCGCCGAATGCCCCGACACTGGCGCGGCCCCCCACTGCCTCCGCCGGCCTCTCGCACAGGCGCGTGGATCCTGGCACGGGTATCGATCGCCCATGAGGGCCGAAGGTCGCTTCCCACTTGGTGTGTCGCTTCCACCGCTGGCTCGGCTCCACAGTCGGATAAGAAGCCGAACGCTATTTCTTTTAAACCGCACCGTGAGAACCAAGGTAGCGCTTCTCGCGCTGGCTCCGTGGAGATGGCGCGCGTCGAGTACCGATTCACTCCGAGGGTGGTAAGGGGCAGGTGGTAAGGGCAGGTGGTAAGGGGCAGGTGGTAAGGGGCAGGTGGTAAGGGGCAGGTGGTAAGGGGCAGGTGGTAAGGGGCAGGTTGTAAGGGGCAGGTGGTAAGGGACAGGTGGTAAGGGGCAGGTGGTAAGGGGCAGGTGGTAAGGGGCAGGTGGTGGGCGGATGCGGGTCTCACAATCCCGCTCGATTACGGCGCAGAACGGTTTTGATTGCGTCCGTGGTGTCCTGCACATGACCACGCCGGGGCGTGTCCGTAACATCGCGTCCCACCTTCCGCGCCGCCGTCCCCTGCTCGCGTACAGTGGAAGGGGGGGCGTTGAGTGAGCCAGGCGAGGGCTCGCCGGAGCCAATCTGTGAATCGAGCATCCGAGCTCGTAACGAGCACTCGTCCTGTAAACGCTTCCCCTGGGCTCCCCCGCTGCCTCCTCGCTGCCCAGATCACGTACACGCTGCATTGAGGGCAGCGTGTTCACCAGCTGTTGCTGCTGCTACTGCAGGTGACCTTGCTGTCTTGAGGGCAGAGTGAGCTCTCCCGTTCTTAAGTTTGTATGTTTGAGTGACAAGGGGGTCGGAGAGCAAGCGCGTGGTGCGAGGGCCCGAGCAGCACGAGTGCAGCCTGGGCGCTCGCCACTGTGGCTGCACCTTCGGTGAGCACAGTTGGCTACGTACGCTGTGAAAGTGTTTCAACGTACATACATGCAAAGCTGTCCTTATCGAGCCAGCCACATATCCCTATGAAGAATTACAGAGCTTGGGCAATTCTTGTAGATTTAGTATTATCCCCTAATGCTTGGGTCTTCTCTGGGTACTCTGGTTTCCTTCCACATGTATACTCATTCATGGAGTTGGCCGAACGTCGCAGTGTAGGACCACAGAGCTTGGACATTTATTTCACCGGATATGGCAGCCTTCCCGCTTGCCTCTGGCTTTCCACACAAGCGGTCTTGGTGCGAAAACCGTGCACGTTACAAATTCTGCAGCATTTCGAGGCGTCATTACACGAATGTCGATGCTGTTTAAAAAAAAAAAAAGTTTAAAATATAGTGTGGCCACCTGTCCGAAGTCACCCCGTGACTCGCCGAGTTCCCGCGCGAGCGCAGTGCCCGCGACGCCACAGAGGGCTTGAGCGGAGCTCGGGCGTTCATCCGCCGTGTCGCCCCCGCGCGCGGGGCCGGAGCTGGCTCCGCGCCAGCAGCGATGATTCGCGCTGATGTGGCAACGGCTCTAAACGCGACAGCCAATAACCTCGTCCACTTAGCGGCGCCGTCAGTGCACGGCGGGTGGGCCGGGGGCCGCTCGCTGGCAGTCCGGCCGCACGGCGACGATGCCCGCCACCCTTAACTCGTCGGGGAGGGAAGCGCCGTCTCACTCCGCAGCCTCCCGCGTGCGGAGGAGCGCGACGACAACTGCAGCCAATGCAGCGAGGAGGCAGCTCCAGGCGTGAAATCAATCGGCGGCGTTTCAACAAAACACAGGAAATGCAGCAAAACGCCGGTACCAAAGAGGCGTCTGAGAGAGAGAAGTTGGTGCAATTGCTTGTAAGGGGACCTGTGCACCGACGTGGCATCCCCGCTGGAACCCTGCAGCTCTTGCAGTGATAGCGAGGGGCATTGCATCAGCGATTTGTTCATCACGGGACATCTATTCTAAATGCTTGTGCAGTGTTTTCCATTTATCCTGTAATGCGGTAATTTTTTGCTGCGATATTTGTTTGGTCGTCTGCTCCGATTACGATTTGCTTTATTACTGTGCTTTATGTTGTGTTATTGCAAATGAGACTCTATTCGGCTGTCTTGGCTTCTCACCACCGGGTTCCACAACATCAACTCGAACCGGGTTCCACAAAATCAACTCGAACCGGGTTCCACAACATCAACTCGAACTTGCGTTGCCTCCTTTCCGCCTCTTCTACTCGGTACTTCAGTGATGGACATTCTTCTGAAGTCTCTCGATCGTGCTCTGTCTATCTGTTGACAAACTTTACGTCACTCGCCTCTCTTCGTCTCGCTCTACGGATGTTTCCTGCCAGGCAAAGTGTTTTCATTCATTCTCATCATTCCCCTGGGACTCTTTAGCCACCTCCGAATTCCTCCCCAATCACAACGACTTCCTTTGCGAGTCTCATGGCGCCTGCTCGACGCTCCTGGATCTCACGGCAGCTTGCAATGTCGATACATTAAAATAAAAAGCAGATAATGATAATTATACATGTAACGAAGCATCGATACATTGATTACCAAAAAATCTTACACTCACAATACATGCACTGATTTGTGTAAGACTCACTGAAGGTATAATTTATACAATATATATGCAAAGGATTCACTGTAACATCTCTATATCTAAATCAGCTCAAGGCTCCCGTGAATCACATGCCTTCTTCTGTGGCCACCCCCACTCAGAATCCCTCCCCTCTCATCGGGGCCCTGATGCAGCCTCTGCCTACATATCCTCATCTCTCCTGACCCTTGGCTTCTGTTGTTCTGTTCTTTTTCCATCCTTTTCCTATTTCCCATTATTTCCCTTCTCTTTCCCATTCCGTGTTTTCCCCCATGCGTTACATCCTTGACTCTACTCCCCTTCCCGCTGTGTAGCCATGGAACAGAGCTGCTGGTCTAGGCTAGTGGAGCAAACAAATACTGGCCGGATGGCTCTCAAATTCGAAAGGTGAATTCTGGTTGGGGGTTCACTGAGCCCATCATCCCTCTGAAGTTAATCAAATTAGCACCACTTTGTGGGGTAGTCAACAGCGATTATCATATGTTCTCATATGGATAAACTAGACCCCGTCATAGAAATGTGGAATTTCCTACACTGGCTCAGAGCTGAAAATGCGAGGCGAGCATCACCTCTGCTCATTCCAAATGACTTTGATCAGACCGATACGATGGTGCAACTCGACCGGAACGGCATCGAATCATCGTCGATTCTTTGTGTGCGTGCGGTGCCCAGGTACGACGCCGGGAAGGATGGATTCATCGACATGATGGAGCTGAAGCTCATGATGGAGAAACTGGAAGCCCCACAGACCCACCTGAGCCTCAAGAACATGATCAAGGAGGTGGACGAGGACTTTGATGGCAAGCTCAGCTACAGAGAGGTGCCCAGCCCTGACGCACACGCTCGCACACGCACCCATGCACACATACGCTCACACACATACCCAAATACGCGCACACACAGATACGCACACACACATAAGGACGCACACGCACGCATCCGTGTGTACAAACGCATGCACGCTCACATATGCTCGCACACACAAATGCAAGCACACGTGCTCGCACACGCATGCACGCACGCACACGCACACATGCATGCACGCTCACGCACATAACAGCTCGTTGATCTTATGCTCACTATCCGTGAATCGCAGGTGCAAGAATGATAATCTTGGGTTTGTGCAAAAGATGCAATGGGTGTTCCATTTATTATTTACACCTCGATAAAAGTTAAAACTGATACGTGTGTAAACACGTTTCTTGAATTGAGCAAGGTTATTGTAATAACTTGGGAAAAGAGACGATGGCGCTCACAGCAATGACGATCTCTGCCACCTGCGTCTCCTCTGCAGTTCCTTCTGATTTTCCGCAAGGCAGCGGCGGGGGAGCTCACGGATGACAATCCCCTCATGGCGCTCGCTCGCCTCTCGGAGATCGACGTCTCCACCGAGGGCGTCAAGGGCGCCAAGACCTTCTTCGAGGCCAAGGTGCCCCCCCCAGCCCCCCCAAACTCTTCGGCTTCCCACCCATCACCACTGACGCTCTCACGGGGCCCGAGGCGCAGGGTCCGGGGAAAACCCACGATGCACACGAGGGGGGATGGCAGCCGCAGCTCCACGCGGATCGCAGGAGCCGTCGCCGCACTGCCACCTGCAGGCCGCGTGCCGTGCTCGCAGTCCTACATCCAGATCGGGGGTCGGCGACCAAATTAACAGGAGCCTTTTTTTCGAATTAGGTAAAAAACCTAATATTTAAAAATCCGCAGTGGATGTGAGAAGCGACGGAGGAGTCCGGCGTGCCCGCCTGCGTCGGGATCGAAGAAGCCGCTCGGTGGCGCGCAGGCGGGCACCGACAAGTGGATCGCGTCGGGTCCCTCAGGTGGCAGCACGCACTGGCGAGCGGTCGGCGCTACGATCAGTCACGATCAGACTTGCGTCTTCGTCTCGCGAGCGTTTGTCCCACCCGGTGGGGTTCACGCTCCGAGCCGGCCCCCGCCCTCTGCAGCCTTCGATTTCCATCATTACCTCCGCAATAACGCCGCCGCCGCACGCTCTCACATCCTCCCTCTCTCTTTCCTTCAACTTTCATGGTCTCTCCCCTCTCTCTTTCTTCCGTCTCTCCACTCTCCTCTTTCTGCTGTCTTTCTCTCCCGCCGCCCCCCTCTTGACCCCCCACGCAGGTAGAGGCCATCTCGAAGTCGAATCGCTTCGAGGCGGAGATCAGGGCGGAGCAGGAGGAGAAGAAGCGCGAGGCCGAGGAGAAGAAGCAGCGGCAAGCGGCGTTCAAGGAGCTGCGCTCCGCATTCCGGCCATGAGCGTGCGCACGGCGCCACCCATACCCCTAACCCCAACTACATCTCCATCTCTTCCTAATCCCATCCTTAACCCCAAACCCAACTCAATGTCTAACCCCAACCCAATTCTTAAGTCCATCTCTCTCCACCCTCCTTGTCCCACGCATGGCCATCCTCCGCCTATGAACACATCCATTACCATTCATGTGCCCCATGAGCCCGAATATCAAATCTGGTTGGTAGCAGCAGCAGCAGTTTTTTTCATGAAAGTGCCATTGGGAACGGGACTTGGACGCACGGGGGGAGGGATGGGACACGTGGCAGTGGCGAGGGGGTTAGGGGAGTCCACGTCGTGGCAGGGTGCTGGGACATGTGAGACCGAGGGGCGAGGGAGTCGTCTCTGTTTTGGCCGCACCTCTTTAGTGTTTTTTTTAGAAAATAGCCGGGAGCCCCGGCCGCTGGCTCAAACTACTGCTGCCGCTGCTACTGCCACTGACACCTCCCTTGGTGGTCGCTGTGGCTTCTCCGCGTCACTGCTGTCGAAGCCGCATGCGTCGCACGTCGACTATGAATGTTACAACTACGCCCTGCTCAGCAAACACCGCACCGCCATCACTTACCACGCAATGGGCACTGGCCTAAGGGCTCCGTCGGTATACAGTTGCCACCTGGCTGGGTTTGACCCGAACACAAATGCCAATTCCCAGACTGTCCGGGTCAAACCCAGGCAGCACTGTGTTTGGGTGGCAGGAATTTATTTGAACTTTATTGCATTTACCCGGACAGTGTTGAGAGATCTGGGCCAACTTACAAATATGTGCAGATTTGGTCTACAGTGAAAAGGTGGGAATCCTGTTTCGCTATTAATCATGGACTCATTCCCATACTGGTGAAAATATATCCTTGGTCAATGCATACAGTGGCAAATTCCCTACCTTGCAATTCCCCCCGCCGCCTACCATCCATAATTCAAGGCCTCGCCACCTCTACGGAAATTGGGTCCTGTGTGTGTCTTGCATTTGTACCCCGGTCTTGAGGTTAGGAGGCAGGGCCGTACCGAACAGCGAGATAACCGTGGGCAAAACGCAACGAGCCAAATTCCTGTGGCACTTGCCAGCGAAGATCTCAACCTTTGCAGGTCGGGCTGCTTGAATCTGCATGGCTCTGTTTACGTGAGGTTTTACGTGCATGTGGGTTCCACAGGAGAGCGCTCGCATCCACGATTGCCGGGGAGCGGCGGTGTTCGGGGCGCACTTTGCCCGGCGTATGCCCCCCACCCTGCGCTTGGTTGGTCCTTGCCGCCCACGCCCGCCGTTAAGACGCCGCTCCCGCGTCACCCGCGCGGCTTCAGTGCCCGCTTTTTGGCCAGTTAAGAACTACCATACCAAATGTTACCTAACGTGCCCTGGTCAGAGTGTGTGAACCCATGCTGGGATTAACAGCAGACCAGATCCGCGAGCCAGTATTCATTCCACTGCGGTGACGTCTGCATCGCGTTTTGCGTGGTGCCGTTAAAAATCGGTGCCGCGAGGACAACACAGATACCGGGGTCCATGTCTGCTTTCAGAGACGACGCTCACAGCCCCCCATCTCGGGGCAGTGGTGGGGTGAGTGTTGGGTCGCCACTTCAACAGGACCCCAGTCTCACACCCCGCACTGGACTGGGGTCAGGGTGATGGTCACGGTTATGATCCGGTATGTAATGATTCATATTCCCCCACCCCATGTATTTACACTTACGTTTGGATTGCTTCTCGTCTGTCATCTCATTTACTTGTACAGCCCCGTCGGGCTCAACGTAACATTTCCAAAACGTTTGTACAAATTATGAATAATCGGTCTGTACATGTACGGCGCTATGCATGTATCGTATAAATCTATTTTGTCTGATTAACTATGGAATCGTTGCATGTCTAGTTGGGGTTTATATTCTGTGCCGGGTGTATCCCGGTTGGAGGGGTCCTGATTGAGGGGCTTGCGCGTTTTAACAGCGTCCCGGTTTAGGTGTCCCAGTCTCGAGAATGCGCAGCCCGTCCGCTCGACCACTGCGATGCGCGCGTCACCTCGCACCCGGCGCCACGCCGGGTGAGCGGCTCCTCGCGAGCGGGCCGGATCGAGCGTGCGCAAGGCGAGATGACCGTGCGCTGTAAAGGTTCATCGGTGCCCCCACTGGTGTGCGTGTATCGTGGATGGCTGCGATGGTTGTGGTCTTGGTGAGCGTTAAAGAAAATATTTGAATATAATTTTTTGTATGTAAAAAAATAAATGTTTATCAATATTGCTCTATGGGTACCGGAAACGACTGGCGAGAGCCGGGTGTCTCGTGATTCCTTTTCAACCGCTCTGGGTCGGGTTTGAGCTTCATCCCAGGTCTGCCTCACTTCCCCATCAGCCGCGGTGCTACACGTGGATCCCAGGGGTTCGACAGGCCCTGCACGCGCTGCTTGGAAGAACCAGAAACGCCCCGTCCCGACGGGGTTGGCACTGCAGGTGAATGAGCCGGTCGCCTGCTCGGATCGTCACATACAGAGGTGCAGGAGGACGAGAGGCCGCTGAGAGGCCGCTGAAAAGCCACGTGGCCAACCCAGTGTGACCTCTGAGGTATGGCCCATCGAAACATGAAGTGGTAGATTAGTGAGAGGAGAGATACCTGGAGACAAGATACAGGCCGGTGAGATGAGAGATGAATAAGAGGTAGAAATTGGAGAGCTGTAGACATCCAGATTCGTGGTCACAAGCACGTTACATGACCCACCAGCACGTCAGTTTTTTTATGTGGCCCTGGAAAATCCCTGCTCGAGAGTGGATCGGCAGCAAGATGGCTCTGCACGACGCGAGGAAGCAGCAAGGTTGGGATGGACAACACTCTAGACTTTAATTACATTGCAGGGCAAGCCGCAGGTGCCACGATCGTACGTGGGCACACGGCACACCGTCACTCGCGACGAAACCTACAGTTCATTAATTTAAGCAACACACACGGTAAACAAAAAATGGCACTTGTAGGCAGTTAGTGCTTCACTTCGGGCCAGTTCTTTAGCAGAGAACCGCTGACTTGCAAGCGATGAGAGATGACAGACTTTGGCCGCGTGTGCCAGCAGCTTCTCACACTGATGGCGGCGATGATGGCGGAGGCGATTGGATTCTTAGCCAGATCATGCGGTGCGAGTCCCCCCCCCCCCCCCCACCGCGTCGACTCGTGTCATCGCCCCTAGACGCCGCTCTCTTCCTCCGCCACCGTCACGTCGAACAAAGACAGGTCCATGACGCCGCGCTCCACATCCACGCCGATCGGCGCGAACAGCCGATCGGCCAGGACCTCCGACCTCAGGTACGAGGTCCTCTGACGGCAGACGGTGCCCGAGCCCTCGCAGGTGGCCTGCAGGAACACGGCGAGCTCCACGTGCTCGTCCGGCCACCTCCGCTCTCGCAGCAACGGCAGCAGGGGGCTGTCGGGGCTCAGCTCGTGGTGGAAGGTCAGCGGGAAGAGGAAGTAGGGGCAGGGCCGGGGCCCCAGGCGGTCCAGCTGAAAGTCGACGGCGCTCTGGCGGAGCGGGCGGCCCGGCCGCGAGCGGTAGAGCACGGCCGACACCGTCACGTCCAGCAGGGCCGACGGGCGCAGGTTGGCGACGCGGAACGCGAGGAGGCGGCGGCGGCGCTGATCCCCGCGGCCCCCCCACACCACCGCCGCGCTGCTGAAGCGGATGGTGCCGGCGCGCAGCTTGGGCCGCGCGATCTTGGCCACGAACGCTCCTGGGGGCGGCACGGGGGCGGATCAAACGGCGGGGTAAATTCATCATTGTTAATTTTACCACGATTGCCACACCGAGTCCGACGATGTTCAGGAGGGTCCCGCTATATCGAGATGTTTGGCTCAGGGGGGCTGCATTCGCCCAATGAAGCCAAACTGCGATTGTGTTCAACATCGACCCGAAGCTTCTGTCTCCACTCCATTTCTCATCCCCATTAGCTAGCAGCATTTAGTTTTATTCGTCACATTTCACGACTTGACCACTGCCCCCGTGTTTACCCCGAGGGCGCTCTCGGTGCCAAACCACGAGACCAAGAACCCGCTGGGAACTCGCACTCCCGTCGTAGGTCGCTGACAAACTTAAGAAGCTTTATCTAAATGTATTCTGATGGTGACCCGAAGAAAAGAGGACCACAAAGCAGTGCTCCAGGAACTGTCGACGGTTTCTGCATCCTGCACAGAGGCCGAGTGTGCCTGTTGTACGCGTTCTAGATGACGTGCGTCCATCCTCGCATCACAAGCACGCAGACGGCCGTGTCACGTCCCCCGCACGCATGAACCCAGAGGGCCCCGCGGGTCTGGGCACGTCTCCAGCCACGGGCGGGGGCTGCCCCCGAGCGCCGAATCCACGGGGGAGGAGGAGGAGGGGGGGCGACTCCCTTTTTCCCGCGGCTCCCGAGGGCTGGAATCCCGGGTGCCGAGTCTCGAGACCCGAGTCTGTGGCCTCCGCGGGACTCGCGCCTGGCGAGGCCTCACCCCTCACCCCTCACTCGCACCGCAACCGCGCCGAGACATCCGTCGATTATAAATCGATTACGCCGCGGATTTTACGACGACGGTGGCGTTGGCCTTCGCTGGCGACTCAGCCCGCCGATCCTCCGCAGGCGGCGTCACGGAGCCCCGCGCGTCGTCGAGCGTGCCCTGAACAGCCGCTCGGAGGCGCCAGGCTGGTGGCGTCGTTCATTATACAGGGCGCTTCAAAAAAATGTTAACTTTTACATTGGACTATCTTTTAATGGGAAAGGAATGAACACTGTAACGTGATAACAAATGTATGTTAATAGCTTCAAAACGTCAGAGTCTCCTCCACTTGTTCGCCATCATTGTCAACACGTGCCTGGGATCTTCTCCAGGAGGTCTCCAGAGCCCGGAGGGGCGGCACGTTTCTCGTGGTGTCGTCGCAACATTCTCAGAAATGTAAAAAAAATGTTGAAGCACCCTGTATAGGTTTTTTGGGTTAGATCGCATCAATATAAATGTGTCGTTAAACCCGTCACCACCCGACACAGCCAACTAGTAAGGGTTGTCACGTAAACAGAACGTGCCAATTCGTCACTAGTACAGCACACCGGTGTGTTGGTGTTGTTGTTGGTGATGTTGTTGTTGGTGTTGTTGTTGGTGTTGTTGGTGATGTTGGTGTTGTTGTTGGTGGTGTTCTTGTTGGTGTTGTTGCTGATGTTGTTGGTGTTGGTGTTGTTGGTGATGATGTTGTTGTTGTTGGTGATGTTGGTGCTGGTGTTGTTGGTGATGTTGGTGTTGTTGTTGTTGTTGGTGTTCTTGTTGGTGTTGTTGCTGATGTTGTTGTTGGTGTTGTTGTTGTTGGTGTTGTTGGTGATGTTGTTGGTGATGTTGTTGGTAATGTTGTTGTTGGTGTTGTTGTTGGTGATGTTGTTGTTGGTGTTGTTGTTGGTGATGATGTTGGTGATGCTGTTGTTGGTGTTGTTGTTGGTGTTGTTTTTGGTGTTGTTTTTGGTGTTGTTGGTGATGTTGTTGGTGTTGTTGATGTTGTTGGTGTTGTTGTTGGTGTTGTTGGTGTTGTTGTTGGTGTTGTTGGTGTTGTTGTTGGTGATGTTGTTGGTGTTGTTGGTGATGTTGTTGGTGTTGTTGGTGATGTTGTTGGTGGTGTTGTTGTTGGTGTTGTTGGTGATGTTGTTGGTGTTGTTGATGTTGTTCGTGTTGTTGGTGATGTTGGTGATGTTGTTGTTGGTGTTGTTGTTGGTGATGTTGTTGGTGTTGTTGGTGTTGTTGGTGATGTTGTTGTTGGTGATGTTGTTGGTCTTGTTGTTGGTGATGTTGTTGTTGGTGTTGTTGTTGGTGATGTTGTTGGTGATGTTGTTGTTGGTGTTGTTGTTGGTGTTGTTGGTGATGTCGTTGGTGTTGTTGTTGGTGTTGTTGGTGGTGATGTTGTTGGTGTTGTTCTTGGTGGTGATGTTGTTGGTGTTGTTGGTGATGTTGTTGTTGGTGTTGTTGGTGATGTTGCTGGTGTTGTTGTTGGTGATGTTGTTGTTGGTGTTGTTGTTGGTGATGTTGTTGGTGTTGTTGTTGGTGGTGATGTTGTTGGTGATGTTGTTGTTGGTGTTGTTGGTGGTGATGTTGGTGTTGTTGTTGGTGTTGTTGGTGGTGATGTTGTTGTTGGTGGTGATGTTGTTGGTGTTGTTGTTGGTGATGTTGTTGTTGTTGTTGGTGGTGTTGTTGTTGGTGATGTTGTTGTTGGTGTTGTTGTTGGTGATGTTGTTGTTGTTTGTGATGTTGTTGGTGTTGTTGTTGGTGTTGTTGGTGGTGGTGATGTTGGTGATGTTGTTGGTGATGTTGTTGGTGTTGTTGTTGGTGATGTTGTTGGTGTTGTTGTTGGTGATGTTGTTGTTGGTGTTGTTGTTGTTGGTGATGTTGTTGTTGGTGATGTTGTTGTTGGTGATGTTGTTGTTGGTGATGTTGTTGTTGGTGATGTTGTTGTTGTTGGTGATGTTGTTGTTGTTGGTGATGTTGTTGTTGGTGATGTTGTTGTTGGTGATGTTGTTGGTGATGTTGTTGTTGTTGGTGATGTTGTTGTTGGTGGTGTTGTTGGTGATGTTGTTGGTGTTGTTGGTGATGTTGTTGGTGTTGTTGTTGTTGGTGATGTTGTTGTTGTTGGTGATGTTGTTGTTGTTGGTGTTGTCGCGCTTCTCTACCCAGGGAAGTCTCCGCTCTCTCTCTCGAGGGTGCCGCTCCGTTCTCGCACCAGGGGGCGACAGTTGCCACGTCCGTATCGGTTTAATTATTTTAGATTTTGTTTTAACTTTGCTATGAATTCTTTTAAAAGCAATTTGTCCGTAGCCAACTTTCGTTTCAGGAAATAAACTCATGATTTATAGTTGCGTCATTGCTGTAACTTTTGTTTTCCTTTGTGTCATTTTGTTGACCGACCAAATCACTCTCACCAATGAGACTCGTGGTCTCTCTGTCTCTCTCGAGGTCTCCTCTGGCCGCACTGCCACAGTCGACACTCGAGACGGGGCCGTCCGTGCAATGGGATCGCGACGCACGTGGCCCCGCGTCTCAGGGAGTCGTCGGTTCTGTCGCTCGTCGCTTTAGCAAAGTCAACAAGGAAACCAAAAGTCACTCGCAAATCATCTCGACCAAATCCCTCGCCAAAGTCACGCAAGTCTATCGCTCCTATCCTAATCTATGGAACCAAAGTTGTGGTGCTATATGTTGCAGGCCTGACTGACGTCATTGAGGTGCCCGAGCGAAGTTGAAGTGGAAGCTGCTTCCAAAGTGTTTGAGACATTTGGGATGAATTTCTGGCTCCAGCGCCGGCCACACGAACTGCCTGGCAGCCACGAGACGAGAGGGCACTGGCCGCGGTGCCAACTCCTCGTTTCTATGGACAGGCAACCTGAACGGACTCGAGTCGGAAGAGCGGAGCCGAGGCTCAAGTTGGCGCTCCATGGGGGGGGGGGGCGAGAGGCCCCGAGGAGGCCCCGAGGAGGCCACGCCCACCAGCCGCTGCCCCACTCGCAGGGTCTTCACATGCAGCTGAACACTGCAAGGAACGGACGTTCATGAACCCATCTGTGCGGAACGACGAGTGTCACGCGTTCGGCACGCGTGGGGTTTCTCTTGGCAAATGTAACGCCCTCATCACTGGCCTCGGTCAATCGTCTCAAACCGATCGTTGAGACCGAGGGAGCTTCCCAGTGCAGACGAATGCCACTAGAAACTCCGACTCGGTTACGCAACCAGTAGCAGCAGAATACAAACGTTCCATTATTAACGACAGTCACAACTCCACGGTTTAATATATTATTATCGATGACTCAACTCCGTGACTCACACGGCATAGTAGCGACCGCGTACGCAGCGGTGCAGCAAAGCCAGATCGTTGCCGAAACCCCCAGAATTTAGCAAAAGATTTAGGCCATGAATGAGTTGGGAACCGCCAGTTCGCGCACGGCCAAGACTCCGTACGCCCCTTTGCCAAGGGGACCCGCATTAAGCGTCGGTGCGAACGGACACAATCTCGTGGGATGCTCAAAAATACAATAATATAAAACAAGCCACACTTCCTGGCGATAGGGGCACTGCGGGACCGCACGCACCCCGTGCACAGGGCACCGCCAGTGAGTGGCCAGCTTCGTTTCGAGTCGACTCCGAGGGAAGGGCCAGGGGAGGGGCGGCCCACACAAAACAATGCCACAGAGAAAGTGAATGGCGGTGTCACGGCACAAAGTGACGATTACCGCTCCCCTCGCACGTGTCGGATGTGGCGACTGCCTTCACGGCTTATGACAGCGATGGGTTGACTCGAACACGAGGCTGGGACCACGTGGGGCACCGAGTGTCCGGTCCTCGACGAGAGAGGAGCAGCTGGTGAGAGAAGCAGCGCAAGCGCACGGCCGGAGGGGTTTGACGAACCTGCCCGCTCACGAACACTCGAGGGAGTTGGCGCACGAGAACCCAGTGAAGACACGCGCTCAAGCTGTTCTCGTAACGCTCGGCACAGCCGAGCCCTGGGGCCGCGGTGGCCCCTCGGCCTGGCGAGGACGCGGATCTGTCGGCCGCGCCTCTCGGTCTGCGACCGCGGCCGCTTCCGCCTGCTCGCGCTCCGCTGCAGTGCGGAGCGAGGGAGCTGCTGCTGCTGCTTGCTGCTGCTGCTTGCTGCTGCTGCTTGCTGCTGCTGTTTGCTGCTGCTGCTTGCTGCTACTGCTTGCTGCTGCTTGCTGCTGCTGCTGCTTGCTGCTGC